AAAACACGCCAAATTCTAAAATGAAAATGCTAAAATGTAATTGATGTTGGACAAACTTTTGGAATGAAATGAAATTCACGTATACGACATTATATAAAAATTGTTGTTATTAGGAAACTAATTAATTTAAAATGGTGCAGTCATGTATAAGAATTTACACAATGCTCTATTAATAGATTTCATTTTAATATGAATAAATTATATTTCAATACCAGCAGAGTGTACGTATTCTGTAAGACATCCTTTATTCTACGAAAAAAAAATAATTCTCCCATTGTGTTTTGAAAAATTAACTAATTCCTCTCGTTCATCTCGCTACTCAGTATATCAATTAATGCTCGAATAAGACAGGTGTAGGTTCAAATTTAAATTTAATTTTAAGTCCTTCGTTGTTTTCATTTTCTACGTAGTGCAGAAAAAGTAGCTTAGCATAAAGATCCCACCTAATTATAAGACTTTTATAAGTCCCAAAATATTCTTTCAACAGCTTAAGCAATCACATGCTTGTAAAATACGTTTCCAGAAGTTTTCGAAGTGAATCGAATAGATACAAGTGCAATAATTTATATGGATACTGCTATAAAGTATATACTGTGGAGTTACATAAAATTCACTAGTTATAGGACGAACATTCAACCTCGATGTTATAAGTGTCAGATTTTGGTAAATAGTAAATTCACCCTGAAATTTTTTCTCCTTGTAATACTTTTTGCAAATTGAACAGATGTAATCTATTTCTCCAGCACCATGATCATCGTGGCATCATCGATAATACTTTATCAATTTAATGGTTAAATCAATATTATGCGACTTATCAGTAAAGTGTATAAAGTGTCATCGATCATAAAGTATCATCCACAGTCAGGAAATAGATTTCGTATGTCCAATTTACAAAATAATATAGAAAAATAAATTTCAGGTTCAAACAAACCTGAACTCATTAGAAACTCATATTAAGAACTTAATTTTATATCTGTGTATTTGTATAATTTTCGATCTTATTTTATTACAAAATAGTCAAATTTTTGTATTGCACCTTTTCATAGATTGTAGAAGAATATGTATCACCCCTTTAGAAAGTGTATCGATTTTCTATAAAAGAGCTATTGCTCGAGAATTACAGTGAAATGAGTCCAGCAGTGGGCGACTTTACTCTACTACACTGACCAATAGATAAAATACTTCCTCTACGAATCTATACATATAAATACACGTGTTTTCTTTTTTAGGAAACAGTATAACATGGAGGTTTAATTGTATACACGCTCTTTATAAAATAAGTATACAGGGGGTCCCGTAACTAGTATTACTCCCTGAAAGGGGTGGTAGAGGACGTCATTCTAAACAAGATTTTCCTTTGCACAAATGAGGTTTGAAGCTTCGTTTTTGAATTATTAAGCAAAAACACGGACCAATCAGAGCGCGAGGATTTTGCGCGCTCAGACGCGAGAGCGACAACTTCGAAAATGACAGTCGATTGTGATCGTGAACAAGCGTATCGATACCACGTCGGTATATCGTCGGTATAACAGGAAGCTATTAAGTAAAAGTTAAATCGAATAATGAATTAAGAAGTTAAGAATAATATTAAATTCTTTGTAATTCATGAATGAGAGATAAACCAATTAGTTATTGTTTACCCAGACCAAGTATATTGTATTTATTTTACGCCTCCGAAAAGGAAAAAGAATAAATTCAAGAAAATCAATTTTTCGACTCTTCGAATGAAGCAAACGAATAAATTCACGTTTCAAAACGAATGAGTACCTTGTCGAATGCAGTACCTCATTGAAATGAAATAAGTCAATTGCTGCGTACATTTAATTTTAAAAATACAAAAACATCTTAAATAAAACTTACCCATTGATTCATGAAAAAACTAGCTTCGATAAAAAATATTTGTGTCACCGGGTAGATCCACCGATCAGAGTATCAACAGCTGATGTCCTGGCAGGGTCAATGAACTCTCAATTTATTTCACTGTCTCTTTCTAATAATTGCACAACATAAGCACGACCGGTAAACGGACCGAATGAAAACGCGTAAACGATTATTCATAGATATGTATGTTTGACGATACGCTATATTCCCATTATAAAGTATCCGAATTGAGAAATCGAAGTTATATTACATATTTTATTAGAAAACATTGTTACACTGGCCACGGATCGCGGTTGCGTTCTCGATCGCGAGGCATATGTCGCGAACGGTTGCCATGCAACGATGATCTGTTGAACGACTGCGGCGTGGATCGACAGTCGTCGTTTATTATCGAAAGAAATGTGTCGAAATAAAATGTATCGTTGTTTCTAACCGAAAATTCTGTTTTCTTGCTTTCAAGATAATATAGTGTAAATTATTTATGAATATTCGTTCACGTGTTTTCATTCGTCCTATTTACGTGTCGGACTAACATTGAAAATTAGTGAAAATTAGTAAAAAGTGACAGAGAAAAGTGATAATAAAAACTAATAATGAAAGATAGTGAAGTTACTTGAGCGTTTTTTGAGAGTTTCTGTATGGTGAATTATTTAAGCTATCAGTAAGAATCGGTGTGTAACATCCCGGGAAAACATTTTTGTAACATCCCGGGAAAAGTTTTTTTTATATATGACAGTCCTATGTTCAATTTCATTACCCGCTGACAGGAATAGTTAGTTACCGACAATAATAGACTATTACCGACGGTACATTATATACCAATTACCTTATGTATTTAGTTCAACGGTCGGTAACCGATACATATATACTGATATTTTTATTTTCATTTTCAATAATTATTTTATATTTTCAATTTAGAAAGGATAATGTAATTTACAAAGACAATCAAGTTAAGTTAGAACAATTAAAAACAAGACTAATGTATTATTTTATAGTCATTCGAATAAATGTATAATTCTATATGGAAAATTCCGTAATGCAATGTGCCTACGTGCCGCGATGCTCGCCCCGAATTTCCTAGTATTCTCGCGTAATCCTAGAGAAGGATAAGAATACATTTTACATTTAGGACATTATTAGTTATTAAAAACCATTAGTTGAACAAATCAGTTAATGCATATCGGGCGTACTAATATTATGTTACCCGAAATTAAAGTCAAATGTTAGTTTATTGCAGGATATGCTGTAAATTATAATATTATGCTATGGAATTATATAAACTACAAACGTATTAATCAAGATAAACTTTGTCATTGCAATAGCGTTCGAAACCGAGAATCAAATCTTATAGAATACTGAATTCAGTTAATTATATAAAAGCGAAGTTAGCTTCATCCTAAATCAGACATAGGTACGAAATAATATAAAGTACCTATTAACTAGCGAGAATCAGATTTAGTTGGATTTACAATTACCTATTACGTATTGTTTAATTTGCCAAGTTCTATTATTCCTATTATTAATATTATATCAAAATCTATTTAGTTTCTTTTGATCAAACCAAATATTATATCAAAGTCTATTTAGTTTCTTTTGATCAAACCAATATACTTTTCATATTTTGTTGTTATTTGTTACTTGTTATTTGTTAAATTCATCATCTTCATTATTTTATTGAATAAACCTTATTGTTGAAAGATATTGACCTGTAGATTTCACTCCTTAACTGCACACCACACGAATCCCATAATCTTTACATTTAGTTATTTTCTAAAACGAGTCGTTTAGTTGGTAAAAGCCGCTCTTTACCTTCCTAGCGCTATTAACTATCTGAACCTAGGTTCCAGAGTCGTTACAGGTGGATCGACCCGGTGACAGAGATACATTTTCATCGTGATTATTTACGGTTCAATGGGTGAGTTACATTTAAATTTGTTAATTATTCAAATTCAAATTTTTATTTGTTGAATGGAAAGGTTATTTCATTTTTTAAAAATAAGAATTTGTTCTTTTTCATCATCACAATATCTAACGAGAATAATTTTCCATATTTTATCTATTATTTCTTTGCGATAACAAATAAATGTATCGAATAAATTCGACTTATTCTGATTACGTGAGTAAGGACTACTTTCTTCGTTTCTTATGCATTAATAAATGATAATTCAATAATAATTCAGATTTTTTCATTCGTTTTTCAATGTAACTTTCATCTAACAGCTTTCTATCATACCGACGCTATACCGACGTGGTATCGATACGCTTGTTCACGATCACGATCGACTGTCATTTTCGAAGCTGTCGCTCTCGCGTCTGAGCGCGCGAAATCCTCGCGCTCTGATTGGTCCGTGTTTTTGCTTAATAATTCAAAAACGAAGCTTCAAACCCCATTTTTGCAAAGGAAAATCTTGTTCAGAATGATGTCCTCTACTACCCCTTTTAGGGAGTAACACTAGTTACGGGACACTCTGTATAAATTTAGTGACTTATTAGACAGCAGTTGCTTGCATGAATTTGATTAATGTTCGCGAGCAGGACTCCCTCATGGCACATTTATTTATCGCTCAGTATATTTGTTGAAACGTTACGTCTACGGAATACGATAGACCTTCATTTAAAAATCTGAATGCATAATAAAAAAAGTACAGTAATACATATAATATGTTTTAGAAATTGACCAGGTTGCATCGTTTCAATGTTAATTGCTACGTCTCAACAAAATCAAAATATAACGACTCTGTTCTCAAAATCTGCCGATAGTGTCAATTTCTGAATTGTAAATAAGTTTGATTTCAAGGGTAGATTCGTTTTGTTCGATACATATAATACGTGAATCCCTTTCTAAGCTAACTGGTATAATGCGTGCTAGTTGCCGCATTCTTCAAATAGAACTCATGCTTTTGAGATTTTAAAGCGATGTCAGCTGTTCATAAACAAAGTTAACGTGGAATGTATTTATATGTGCGTGTATAGATGTATAGGGTGCCAGATATTAAGAAATCCAAATCCCGCACGCAAGAAGAACACTATCAATCTTGCTGAAGCTTCCAACTTTCATTAACGCTAGTGGCTATGGTGGTGATATCGTGAACAGACGAGGAGAAATTAACAAGCCTTACCACCACCATTGCCAGTCTCTGAGTTGTCTGGCTCTTGGATCTCCATTTTGTGTTCCAGCATCGTTGTAGCAGTTGTAGTAGTAGTAGGCGTTCCTGCACAATAAATACCACATCGCGTGTATCAAGTAGTAAGCATAGATATTTTTACGGACTGAGTAGTAATGTTAGAAACATAGGCGGCTAATCGCGATATTAGCTTTCACTGGATCACACCTGGGTCATTTAGTAATCCTTATCCAGATAACGTGAATTTTATCATCTCACACATCTAGCTTTTATTAATTTAATTAATTCTCAAATAGCTGTGAATATTCTATGTACACATCAAAAATAAATTATACTATATTTATTATTTACAAATATCAGTGAATGATCATTCATTTACGTTACATAAGTGAGTTATCCGGATAAGAATTTATTACATTTGAAGATTTTAACAAGATGATGTATGAAAAGTACATAACAAGGTTTTACATATTTCTGTACATTAGGATGGTATATCACGAGAATCAAGAATAATTCATAGTATGTCTAATCATTTTATACTGATTAATTAACCGACTTCGAAAAAGGAAGAGGTTACTCAATTCGATCAGTATATATTTTTTTGTTGAGGCGGCGCAAAATTAAACGTTTACTGAAGTATTTTTAATTATGCGCCACCTCCGAAAAGGTTGAAATGTATTTAATATACTACCTAACGAGTAAATAGGTTTCATTCATATCTGTTACGTAATTGTATGATTGAATGAAATACAAATTACTTCATTAGGAAATAGAAATTATTTTATACTTTTTAGTGCATTTCGAAGTCGGCGTATTTTTTTTCTTAAAATTATTTTATAATATCTTATCACGGACATGATTCTGAACAATTTTGTTCATATACAAATTTCGCGAAAAGCTTTCATTTTCGAGA